ACTTCATACTCGACCTGATCTCTCTTATCCGGTGGGAATTCTAAGTCGATATTTGCAAGAGCCAAGAGAACAACATGGAGCTGCACTCAAACAAATCCTGAGGTATTTACAAGGCACTCTTAACTATGGTCTCTGTTTTCGTCGTGGAGATCAATCTGGATTAGTAGGGTACAGTGATAGCAGTCATAGTGTGGATGTGGATGATGGAAGAAGTACAGCTGGTCATGTTTTCTATTTCAATGAGTGTCCGATTACTTGGAATTCTCACAAACAGCAGGTTGTGGCACTTTCTTCTTGTGAAGCAGAATTCATGGCTGCTACAGAAGCTGCTAAGCAAGCCATTTGGTTAAAGGATCTCTTCGCTGAAATCATTGATAAAGAATGTGAGAAGGTGACAATTCAAGTTGACAACAAATCCGCTATTGCACTTACTAAAAATCCAGTGTTTCATGGGCGTAGCAAGCATATTCATCGAAGGTATCATTTTATACGTGAATGCGTTGAAAATGAACAAGTGGAGGTGATACATGTTCCGGGAGTGGAACAAAGAGCAGACATCTTAACTAAAGCACTTGAGAAGAACAAGTTCAAGGTAATGAGAGATCTCATTGGAGTCCATAGCTTGTCAAAGAAAGACTTCAAGCTTAAGGGGGAGATTGTTGGGATAAGCTTGAAGAAGAAGACTTAGGAGACAAGCTACTTATTCCTAGTTGAGTTATGACTTAGGGATTAGATTGTGTTTAGGAGTTATCTAGATACAATTCCTATTAGAATAAGGATTATCTCTTCTCTATATATATGAGTTATCAAAGTTGTGGTAACCTTAAGAGATTAGAGAGAGATTAAGGGTTTTAGAAAGCTTAAGTTTTGAGTTATTTTCTTAAGCAAATAAAGAGAGTTATTTTTTAAATTCTTGAATTCATAATCTTTCTCAAAATCTAGAGCGGCAATACACCTTTTAGAACTAATTAAAGATTGTAATTACTTAGGTTACAAAATTCATAGGAGTATGTATGTATGTAAACCTACCTCAGCTACTTTCTCATTTTATTTGGTTTTTCTTGGTTAATGAAATAAAAAGGAATTTGTGTGTTGATAAAAGGGATTAAGAGAAAGGGACTCTATTAGTTGGAAGTTGTTGAACTCCGATGCACCCATTTTATCATATATATAAAACAGAATTATATGGGCTATGAGGCAGTTCACCGGAGAATTAAGCAGGCTAAATTAGAATGGAAGGCTTAACACTGATAATAGTGCTGATGTCATGTTTTATGTTGGGAGGAAAAGGTCAGCAAATAAGCACGCCATGCACCTCCTCAATGATCTCTACCTTCACTCCATGTCTCAACTTCATCACAGGAAGCAGCGGCGGCTCCGTTACTCCCACCGCCGGCTGCTGCGACTCCTTAAAGTCATTGACCAACACCGGCTTGAACTGTGCTTGCCTTATCCTCACCGCTAACGTCCCACTGCCCACTGGATTCATCAATCGGACTCTCTCGCTTGCTCTGCCTCGTGCCTGCAAGATGGACGGTGTACCTGTTCAGTGCCAAGGTTCTAAGTTACTGTACTCTTTCTATTTTTTACTATGTCATTTACAAAACTACGAATGACTCATTTGCTTAATTTACAGCTGCAGGGACTCCACTACCAGCACCAGGTATCCGCTAAGTAATTAACCGTAGTGTGCTACATTACCTGTGTATATGAGATTCAATTCATTCCATTTATATATATTGGACAGGTCCGGTTCCATTTTTACTGGCTCCACCACCGCCTGTATCTGCTTTTAGTCCCGGAGGTGAGTACTCAATGAACAATCAGGTTATCTTTATGTGTTTTTGCGTTCGAATTTGATTTTGGACACATTTAATCAGCGTCCAAGGCGGCGGCTACAACACCGGTACCTGCACCTGCACCGGATGCCCTTGCAGATGGACCAATGCCCCCCACAGCCAAACAAGGAATTCGACCCGTGGTTCAGCCAATACAGCCCACAAGCCTAGCTCAATTTTCTACGTCTCCATTTCTACCGTTGCTTTTTATTAATCTAATTCTGTCAACTTTCTAAGCCAATCGGCGCCTCCATTATTCATAAAAATATTACCCCTTATGTATGTGTTACTCACTTCTCAGGTACTTCATTGTGTGTTCAAAGTTCTACATATGATTTCACTATATATAATGCCAACTCTTGACAAATTCCATGTGAAATATAACTTCAATCATGTTTGAACTGTTAGGAGGCGATTTAAATAGCAGTACAAACGATTCTTTGATATTACGATTTATCAAACATTACTTTCCACATAACCATCTAACTATTAACTTCGGAATGGATTGGCCTGATATTATGATAAATTTAACCATTCGAGTTGGATTAACATGTGTTACTTTTGCCGAAAAATAAACAGAAATACAGCAACCTACTCTCCAAGTAATTCTTTCAAAATATCCCACCAAACAAAGAAAATTGTCCAAAAGGGAAAAAACAAAAAAACAGAAGAAATTTTGACATAAAAGCTGCGATTTACATTCAAATTTAACCGCCCTGTTGATTCAAGCGCCTTCAAGAGCTTTCTTGATGTCTTTCTGCTCACCCAAAAGGGAAAACTGTATCACGACAATGACCGCATATTACATAGACAACTTGGATATACATAGAATGGATACCTCGATTGATAGCGGTGTAACCATTGTGCCGTAACGATCAATCACTAAGCCATCTTTGCTAACCAAGAACTTGGTGAAGTTCCACTTAATTCTGGAACCCAAAAAAGTGGGTTTACTTGCTTTAAGGAATTTGTAGAGTGGAGCAGCGTTTTGACCATTTACACGTACCTAATCCCACATTCACAACTCGTAAGTGTAAATGGATTTCTCATTATAATAATAAACTCATTCCGAGCATCTTGATATCTACTTACCTTTTGGAAAACAGGGTATTCTGCTTTAAAGCGTGTACAGGCAAACTCATGAGCTTCTCCACTTGAGCCTGGCTCCTGGTATAGGAACTGGTTGCAAGGAAATGCCAAGATCTCAAACTCTGAAAAAGAGGTAATGAAATGGTAAAATCAACAGAAGGAGATGACTTCGCAACTGCATACCAGAAGTCATAAATTAATCATAACCTTGGTCCTTGTATTTCTGGTAAAGTTCGGTGAGCTGGGTATAGTTAGACTCGGTGAAACCGCTGTTTGCACAAACCAAGGATTAACGAACGATGAACAAGAAAGTGGCAAAATTTGGGGGAAGGCCCAAAGAGACGAACCATTTGGAAGCGACGTTGACGATGAGGAGGACTTTCCCTTGGTAAATGCTCAAATTCACGTCCTTGCCGGAGCTATCCTGATGCCCAGGAAACAACAACCAAAAAGGAGGAATAAACAAAATTATAGCGACGATTTCAACCTCGTCCTCTAGCACGAGCAAAAAAAGAATATACCTTTACGGTGAATTGATGGACGGATCTCTCGGGAACCGAAGCAGAAGCACCCATCTCTCCCTCTTTCTATAGAAATCAAAAGCAAAGACATTCTCAAGAAAGAACCTTTCTATTTAACCTCTTTGACCTTTTTCTTCGCGTTCGTGTGGACTCGCTTCTTCCTTTTTCTATTTTTTATTTTTTCCCTAGTCTTCTCTCTTTTTTACTTCATACATAACATTAACATACTTTTGAATTCAATAATTGCCCTTTTTTAGGAAATAATAATAAAAATAAAACTCAAAATTAATCTCAAGAAGAGTTGCGAGTATCTGAGCTATATTTATTCATAAGAAAAGTCTACCGAATCAATCATATGCCACTTCAAAAAAAATGTAGCAACTATTCAGCTGGAATATTATTCTAAGAGATCAAATATACACCATACACTCTCCGAGGTCAAAAAAAAAACCCACATAAGAAAATAATCTTAGACACAAATAAATAAAAGTAAAAACAATAAGGAAACAAAGGAGAGCAGATAAATACTAAACTCCTCTCAATCTCTACAAATATTTTTTTTACCATCGCACTCTCTCTGCTTTGCATGAGATTCTGATTCCAAAAGAAACACCATATCATATGTACACTGTCACTTCTTTATCATATCACTATTTCACCTTAACAACAACATAGCCATTCTCTTTTTAAATTAGGGCCACATCACCTCGGTGTTTTCGCTTTTTGCTTCACACCACCGTCCTCTTTAGCCTTTACCAGTTTCGTCTTTCACGTCTTTCTAGTCACTTCTCTGATGCCACATGCCCGGATCTGCTAATCAACAAATGATACTCGGTTTATTGCCTATAAATCTTTTACTTATATAACGTTAAAGGCCAAATCAAACCTCAAATGTTAGAAGCGGCCAATACATGATTCCACTAAAAACCTCCCATGGCTCATTAGAAGATAGTCACATACACTAATTGGCCAATCATGTCCATACAGTTGTTCATTCTATACAAGAGTGGATTTCTAGAAAATCAGAAAACTACATCCAAAAGGCGAAGGAGTATTAGTACCTCTCATTCCAACTGGAACATGACCTTCGGAATGCGGCTTGGGGTGAAAGGAGTGTCTGTCATTATATGGGCGAGGAGGATTATTCCACCGCTGATTCTGGAGCCTTCCAGACTCACGTGCAGGGCCAGCGTCGTATGAATTGGATGGATAAGGTGCTTTGTGTTTGTCTTGATATCTCGAACCTGCAAGATGATCATATTAGACTTCCCATTCCAGCATATTTACATGAGTACATGAGAAAACATCTATGACTGACATGCGCGTGTATATAATCAATGCATGTGTAACAGCAAAAGGCCTCACCATACGAAGAAGATGGTGGATATCTCCAATTATCTCGATTTTCATATGGCACATGCCTCATTCTCTCCGGGTTATCATGAAAATTTCTTTCATCATAATTTGGCACATAATGAGATCTGTGGGAGTACGATGGAGCGTCCCTACGCGACTTCATATGGTGGCCGGGCTCTGAAAATGAGTATTGATGCTGTGGTGGAGGTGGAGCGGGAGGAGGATGTGGATGTGATGGATAAGGCCCATGCTGGAAATTAGAACCATCCGGGTGTTGAATGCTATTTGTAAGGTCTACACCGGAATTATAAGATAAATCCGGGCCTTGATAATGCATCGTGCTTCCAGACAGTTGTGGGTTCATCATAGGAGGCCCAGCCCGATGATCTCCCTGCATATTAACCAAAAACAGTAGGGTAAGTGACCATCGAAAGATTTATAGTCATGGCTATTGGATAAGGATTCAATAATAGGATAACTGACATACATGCATGTTGCGGTATCCTCCATTTTCAAAGCCATTTAAGTAGGAATCAGACATGGCACACTGAGCCTGCTGTAAAGGGGGAGCTGGTGGTGGAGGTGCAGGTGGTGGCGAAGAAGGTGGCAGTGGAGGAGATGAAAAGGACACATGGTGATGTGAAGTGCCAATAACAGGCTGATGCTGTTTTCCAAGCAGAAAACTGGTAGCCTTTATATTATCAGCTTGAACAGTGTGTGAATCGTTTCCAGTTTCCCAAGGCGGAGCCACATCTTCCATTTCAAGCTCACCATCAACATCCTCCAATATAAGCGTATGCCTTTCAGCTGTGGAGGACGAGACATTTTGTTCAAGGATTCTGGACTCATGTTCAGGGGTGACAGACTCAAAATCCCCTCCATCCGAGTCACTCCCTCTCTCAGAGTCGCTCCCTCCCTCCTCATCTTTAAGCAATGCGGGCATGCAAAATCCAGGGAGCTGGAGAGTTGAATTACTGACACGCAAAAAAAGAATTTAGTTTAACGAACCCAGAAACAAGGATACAAATATAGATTCAAAAGACCCATAATCCAGAGAGGCAGAGACAAAAATAAAACATAGATTCAAAACACCGAAAATCCAACCTTCCATATTCATCCACCAGCATATCCTCCATATCTCTCACAGGATCATCCAACGACCTTTCTGTTCGAGCTGAGCGCCGAGAATAGAGGCAAGCAGGAACTATAGTATGTGAATCAAGTTCTCTTATATGGTGACGAACAATAGATTCAGGCAGGATCCGTCTTTCAAGCCAAACCTTCAAAACCTATAAATGCCAGAACGATTGAGAAACAATAACGATACGGAAGAGCTGACCAATATTATTGCATACCTTTAAGCACTGTTTTCGATTTTCTTGTGTGGTAGCTCCAGCAGGTACAGCAGCCGCCAATAGGCGAGGTAAAATTACTTGAATGGCAGAAAGATAAACACAACCAGTATCACCTGAAAAGTAGAGTAGTATACATGATCAATTCCGCAGTTGGAACATTGTTGATGTGGCTTAACAAAACATATTGCACAATGACATACCTTTCAGACCTTTGGAGCATTGAGCGATAGAATCCACAAGGAAAAATAAGTCCACCCTCCTCTTTAAATTTGACTCACTTTCCAAAGTATGAGCCAAAATCTCCATAGCCTATTCAGGAGGTTCATCAAGACTTATTAACAACTGAGAATGCTCTCACAAAACACAATCAAACATGCAAAAAAGAACTTAAATAATCTGTTAAGGTCTCTTCCACATTTTCTTATTCTATCTATGGCATATAATGGAAAATGTTAATTCAAAACATAGAAGCAACATATCTAGGAACTATGATATTAACAGTACATCAGTAAGGAGGCCGCCCGGTTACAGAAAGGGAAACGTAATCAATAATCACAAAAAAAAGGAAAAAACTTTTACCTTTGCAGACACACCAAATCTCATCAACTCCATAGCCAAACGAGTTGCTCGGCCAATGCTCTCCTTTGTCCTTACCAATGAATTAAGTGCATCCTCAAAAGATTCACGAGTGGATTGCACATCACAACTCACAACTTTCTGTCCCTGACATACACCTGTTTCAATTTTCTCTTCTTCTTTGACAATGGCATCAGAAACAATTATCTTCTCACCAGATTGAACATTTGGGCTGCAACTACTGTTGATCTGTATATCATTAGCACTTTCTGCGGTAGAAATGTGGTAATAAACTGAGTTGCTATGTGGAGTGCCCATTGCAGGAGTGTCTGCGATATTAGGAGGAGATAAACTCATCTGTTCATGTGAAAGGTTCTCCGATACTGAGACAGAATTGTTGGTTTGGACCTGCTGCTTTAGTTCATCAGTGTCACCACTGCAAAAGCACATGTAGTATACACTTTTGTTAGTCAGCTAGTTGATGAAGCAGAAGTCTGTCTTGTCATTGGAATTCAAAAAAAAATATTAAGTTAACAGAAAACTGAGTGCTGCCTGTCTGCCTACAACTCCATAAACCTATCCTCAACATAGACTTCAAAACCACCTGCCTACAACTCCATACGCCTATCCTCTACATAGACTTCAAAACCACATCATAATAGGAATCAAAATACTTAAAAGGAACAACCCCTAAAAGTAAAATATATGAAGAAAGTAGATAATAATTATTGGCAAGAATTCTTTTGTGAATCTCTAGTATAATCAGATTCCTAGTTATGTGCTAAATCACTCTACGTATGAGGGCTCAACAAGAAATTCCTGCTGAGGTTAGGACGAGAAACTTCTACACTATATTTCAAGAAAATATTCACAATAGCTTAAGACAGGACAGGAAATACTAATGATAGAGAGTAGCGTCAAAAATTTATAGATTCACAAGTAAAGGCAGAAAAGAGGCAGTAAGGGAAATAATAACAGTCGAGACTCACATAATTTTGTGCCGACTTTCCTCAACAGCGTCCTCACATTTTTTATACCCTGTTTTATCCAGAGGTACATTTTCATCAACTCTCACATCATTTTCAGTTGCGGAGATGGGTGGATTTGGTGTAGTTTCAGCTGGTTTGGTAATGGCATATTCTTCACCCAGACATCCATGCTCTTCTTTCAGCAGCATGTTGTCAGTCGTTTGCATCTTCTCAGTCTCCTGCTCAATCATCATTAAACAAGGCGATGGGGAATGCTCTACACCTTCAGATTCAGAATGAAATTCCTGGCCAGATAATTGAGAAGGTATACCGGATGAACATATCCCAGAGGCATTGTTTGCAGATGAATCCACAGTATTGGGATCCAAGGAGATTTCCATTTTCCTAACTTGACAGCACTGTATGACCGGAAGATCAGACTCACTAGTTGGCAGCTTCATGAGTTGTGAATCTCCAGAGCATAGAGATTCAGGAACACTAGCTGTCTGAGCTTCATCAGCTGGCAAACAGCTCACTTGGTTAGATTGGGGTCCAGCTGCTTCATCATCTGGTTCCTTGCAAAGCTCATTCCACCCCATAGCATGTCCACTCTCTCCCACAGTCTGAACGCAAGCCTCAGATGGAGACATTCTATCATAAGGTTTTTCAACAGGAGATGGTACCAAATTAACCTTGTCACCTGATAGCTGAGCAAAAAATCTAGATTCTTCGACTGCAAAAGTATCATGACTAGAAATTATATCAGAAGGGCTTGTCTGTGCTATTCCACTGGCCAGAGTGTCCTTGGATGATCTTTCTTCAACTTGCGAAGAGCCATTGGCCTCATGATTACCTAAAAATGCTCTACTCATCCTAACTCTGGCTCGCTTCACCAGAGGTAAGTGCTCATCCCCATTCTCTTCACAAGGCCTCTCTGTAAACCTTTCAAGAGAATTTTGTGATGTTTGACCATTATCACGTGGTCCAGACTCAAGACCTGCTTCTGCCTCAACTTTAGACATATGATCAACATCACTAGTACCACGTTTCCTCGTCGGCTTTCTCTTCTTTCTCTTAACCATGGTATTAATTTGGAAATTAAGCCCCTTGTTGAGCTCATAATCTCCTTCTAGAAACTGTCCACCAATATCATTTTGCTCGACTTTGGAACCAGAATCTACACCATTGCCTTCATTCCTAGTATTATTATCAGATTCAACAGTCGCAATTTCAGAGGCATTTTCTTCGTCACTTCCATTTGAGTTTAAAGCTGATGAAGCCACATCATCTGATTCAGAATGACCAGATGATCTTCTGATCCTTCTTCTCCTTCTTAATGTTCTATCTTCCACGTCATTGATACTCTGTCCACCATCGCTGTATTGCACCATGGAGCTTTGAAACTTCTCTGTCCGCAACCTAGATGTACTTTTTGAGTGCTGAACCAAACAAGTTTTTTTTTGTGGAGCACAATTTTGAGATCGTGCCCCTCCATTTCTTCTCCTTGAAGAATATGTTGCTATCTTACGTGGTTCTTTTGGAACCACACTATCACAGGGTTTGTTATGTAGTGCACTGTCATCACGCAGGGCTAGCATTTGTTCAGCAGCTGAAGCATCCTCATTTAACAGAGTAGATTCGTCTCTAACATGACTAGGATCAGACTTAATTTGTGTTAGACTTGTTCCAGTTGGAGTTTCACTGACCTGAGGCAGCAGGGTAGTATTCTCAGTACTCCCAAGAGTGGCTTCTTCAGCAGATTTGGGGTCACCAGCTTGCTCTAGCTGCTTAAGCTTCTCATAACTTTCTGTAATCTCCTTTACAGCACGAACAAAATCTGACCCTTTTGCATGGCGTTTTGTCAAAAGTGATTGCTTCTTCTCCTCTGTAAAAGCTTCAACATCGGCAGGATTGCAGAAAGCTCTGCACATGGATAAAAAATAAAAACAAAATATCACAAACTCCATATGATTACATACATAATAATTCTCACTTGTCTTGACAGCGAGCAGAAAGCAAGTACGGAGCAGTCTACATCAGCACTCATACAGGTCATCAATCAACTTTGACTCTTGCAAAGCTGTGCACAGAATGCTCTCTAGACAACAATGAATCTATCACTGTTCTCTATACCACCTACCAGACTAAAAAAAAAATTCAAAAGAGAACAAAGATAAACTAATCCAAAGGCTCCACGAACAATCTAACTTAGAAAAAAAAATCTTACCACACATGAAAGAGATACTCTGCCAGGAAAGAATGCAACCAAAATCAAAACTGATACTCTGCTAAACCCAACAGTACAAAATAAATGCCCAACAAGAAGCAAAGATCTCAGCTATCCAGATATAGAAACATTAGGCACTACACATAAGAAAGATGAGAGTGAATCATTCAACAGGGAACCCCTTAGGTGAAAATCAGACATACATTCATTACAATGCCACCCAAATGAACCCAGATGGGTGTAACAGGCTTGATTGTAATCAAAATCTGGAAATTATAAACTGTGATGTCATTCGTGTGTGGGGGTGGGACAAAGTGCATCCTGCATTAACAATATAATCTAACATTGTAGCAGATAAACAAGGCTGCTGATTTTCTCCTCGCTAATCAATGAAGAAAAAAAATAAAGGTCATGTTTTCACCAGGAGATAATGAAGTGAGCTAATGTGCAAAGGGGAAGGTCAGAGTGACAGAAAGAACAAACAAACAAATTTAAATCTTAGCATTCAACCAGAGAACACGACCACGATAAAAAATATTGAAGAGGGTAAAGGTAAAGATAAAGGGATGAGAACTCACATCTGTTGTGTTCCAAAAAAATGAACCAACACTTTTTTCCAATCAGTTGAATATCCCCACTTTTCGGGCTCACTAACCTGAAATTGCATCCAACAAAAATAAGCAGGTGGACTGGCAATGGACAAATAATACCTAAAATAAGGGGAGCCCAAAGAGAGAAGGATTGTAAGCATATTTGCCACAAAGACTTGAGAAGAATATAACCTATGAACTTAATATGGTACAACGGATGATGCTGCGGCTGAAACAAGGACATACTATACTATTTGTGTTCCCGAATCTACTAACAACAATAAAAGAATTCCAGCATCTTAGCTTGGATTAGAATTAGAAAGATCCAAGCTAAGATGATTTTAAATCCTAAATTACACGGAGAAGCAGGTATATGTGAAATCTAAACCCTAGATAGATAAAGGTTGGCGACGCCCATGTGGGGAAACTGGTAAACTAATAAACCATCCATAGAGAAGAACCAAACTCAAAAGAGAATAATATTTCAGATTTATTAGAAAAAAAATGCAAAAGATGATGATAAAAGAGAGGTTCATACCGCTGCAGGCCAAGCAGGAAAACCTTTGACTTTGGCAAGCACAAGGTCACCCACCTTCCACTGTCGGCAGGCGGCAGCTACGGCGGCAGCCTTACCACCGCCTTTTCTGCGGCTCGGAGCCATCAAGAAGACGGTAAAATTTTAAACTGGAAAGAAGAAGAAAAAGAAGTGATTCTAACACTCGAAGTAGAGCAAGAATCGGAAGCAAAATTGGGAGGAGTGTCTAGGGATTTCGGTGACAGATTCCCCAGATGAACTCGCAGGCATTGAAACCCCTGCCCAATCGAAAGAAGTTGGTCTGCGAGAGACGGTGGAGAAATGGAAACCCTAATAGAGGAGAAGACGAGATTGTCTGTGGATTGTTTCGCTTTTGTGGAAGAAGGGGATTCACACACGAACCTAGCTAGAATAATTTAACCCCAACAAAAACAAAAACAAAATTGATGGATATTATTTTTGTTAACATGCGCTTTCGCTGCTGCGTAAGTTAGATGCTCGTGACCCAACCACTGCCTCTCTACTTCAAAATCCTTTTTAGTGTTGAGGCCCATTAACATGGCTCATTTGAGCGATTTTTTACGACTTTTTTCAAAGTTTCAGTTTTAGCCTCCTTTTGGGTTTGCTGACACCAGTCCTGAATCCACAACTACCGTAACAATGGATTTTGATCTGAAGCTCCACAAATCAGCAAAAGCTGAACGACCAAAGTTACTTTGAAAGAGGAACAGATGATTGTGGTAGCGATTGTGCAATTTTTGGCCCAACACTCTAGAAGAAATGTCGTATTTCTCACAAATCAGATATTTTGATTCATTCATTTCTAAACAAAAACACCTCTATCGAGTGACCTAGTATCTATGAATAATAATTCTGGCATACATATATTCCTGTTACCTACCTAGTGGCTACTAGTAGTACCTACCACCTCAAGTTTAGGGCCAAATCAAGAATGGCTTCAACTTGACGAATGGTTCGCTGCTTCTCCTGCTGCTTAAACTTAAGTGCTATAGCTTCAGGATCAAGCCCTTCTCCTCTGTCACCAGCGTCCGCATCTTCCTCTATTCTTACTTCCTGTAGCAATGCATCCACTTCTCTTACAAAGTCTACTCTCAGAAGGGTATTGTCCGTCTCAGTCTCAATGGGTGGTCGCAACGGTCCTTGATGCTGCAAACACAGCATTGATTCGTTTTGTTCAAAGGTTCTTGTTTAAAACTAGAAAGTAATAAAAGAGGCTCACCATATCAATGTCGAATCCGGGTGGCATCAGAATGCTAAAGGGGTCTTCTCGTGGGAAGGTCTCAGCCATTCGTTTTTTGCAGTCCTTGAGCCAAGCATCGTCTTCAAAACCATCATGCATGTTTAGAAGATCATTCAGCAGTTTCATCGCAGGACTTGCTTGCCGTTTTAAGATCTCTGTCTGGAATAGAGAGACACCAGATAAGAGGGGATTCACTTTCACCTTAGCCTTTACTAAATCCTTTAAAGTAATTAGGTAGAGCTTAACACAACAAAAGGATCATCATCATAAAAGGAGTAGGCCATAATTTGATGCATAATACGATTTGAACATCTTCCTGCACAAATGAGCAAGTTTAAAGATAAAGAAGCTTATCCAGAGAAGAAATTACCTCGACTCTTCTATACAAAAGATCAAGACTTCTAACGGCGTCCTTTTCATCCTGGAAGTAGCACGGGACATGTTGAGTGAAGACCACAGAGAGAATAATCTAAGGAAACACTTCAACAATGAAAACGCATAAGGAACAAATATTACATCGCGACGAGCAAGGTCAAGCCGGTTCCATATAATCATGAGGACAAGCTCGTCAAGTTCTCCTTTCTCGGCTGCTTCTTCAATTCTCTACACAAAAATTCTCTTATGATGAGTAGTGAGACTTAAAGAGAATCGGACCTAATTTTCTAATACAAGGGGACTTTCTACAAAATTTACCTCCTCTACTTCCTCCGCAGCTCTGATGAAGCTGGAGACGAGCTTTCTAGCTTTCCTTAACTCTTCCTCAGGAAATTCTTTCAACCTCGTGCCAATTTCACGGTACTCTTCAATCTTTCTCTCCTCTTCTTCTTCTTCCTCCCGCTGCATCCGCCTCAATTCTTTCGTCTTCTCTCTCTGTCGAGCTTGCCATTCCTGGAGCATCAAAAACCCTACCGACTTAGACATATTCAGATCAATACATACACATAGAAACAAACGGATGAGGAGACGAACATCATCGTAATACTCCGGTGGCATTCCTTCTAGAAGCACTTCGTCTTTTTCCCCCAAGCATCTTCTTAGGAATTTTGCTGAGAAATCGGCAGGAGAATTTACACGAAACAAACTCAAATTGGAGCAAGAAATCGAGGACTCTGTATTCAGCGTCTTCACAGCAGAAACAAGCCCACCGGTGAACAGAGGAGATGCGCATGTTAGCACCAACGACGTCGCCGCCATACTCGGGTTTCAGAGCTTCTTCGTCTACTCTACCTACTACACACACTGTGGTTTCTTATTATCTTGTAATTGTAATCGCGCGACTAAATTCGGAAATTTTTATTTACCTCATTTACTCCCCCTAGTTTGGAATTTTACAAATTAAACCCGTAGCTGATAACTTGATAGAGTAATTTGCACCAAAACAATTTAGCGTCTAATCAAATCTTTGTTTCCCAAAACTTATTTCTTCTATTCCCTCATTTTCATTTTACTGGTTCCAATTGAAGCTGTTGCTTGTGAATTATGATGTCTCTCTAAATTATAAAATACATAATATAGACAGAACTAATCTGAGGAATAAAAGTGATCGTCACAGATTAGATATTAGTCGAAAAAATAAAGTTGAAAGACCTAAAGCTAAAGTTGATGGCAGGTCTCCACGATGAGTTCAGTCGCTGCACCCATAGTCCCAAGGCCGCCGGCACATAGTAGAGCAAGAGCTAAGTCTTGCTCGTTCCACTGCCGCAGACTTTTGCTTAGCCTCTTAATTACTTCAACATCCACCTCTAGCACCCAAGCCGGCGTGCATTGCACCATCAGGCTCACAAAGCCAGTCACGTAAGCTTGCCATGTGGCCCAATCACAGCCCAGTGATATCTTCCCTTCCAAGGCACTCACCAAAAAATCCAAATGCAGCCACAGAACCCTTGGCCGGCGTTTTGAGGCAGGAGATGAGGAGTCGATTCCCCAAGCAAATGCACTGCTCAGGATTGCAAAGTATGCCAAAGCATAGCCTCTTAGCATCGGAACCATACCTCCCAAATCGTCTTCTTCTCCTCCGTGAACCGAGATGAACCAAGATGGTAATGTCTCCTTGATCAGAGCCTGAACCAAATTGAGGCCACCGGAGATCCACACAAGAGAGGCTCCCAGCGAAGCTGCCAGCTTAACACGTGTCATTGCCAGAGAAAGTGAAACCTGCCCAATCCCATACTTTGACCCATCTTTCGTTTTCTTCAATTTCTCTGCTTGCTCCGCTGGTAGATCCCTGGTGGCAATGCTCTTCACAGAGAACATCAGAAGCGAGAGGATTTCTTCTGTCAGGAACATTACATCTCTGATTGATCTGTGCACTTTTATGTACAAGATTCCTGGGGCAGCTGTGGAGATTCCACCAGAGTAGCGAGAGCCAAAACCATGGCCAAGGAGTGCGCCCACTCCCCCGTAACTGCAGAGTTGGGAGGTAGGTGTCAGACCAAGGGTGCAAGTAAAGCAGCTTCTGAGGAGCTGAATAACAGCATCGCTGTTGTGGTGGAATACAGTCCTGGAGGCTGAGAAGATAAGAAAGTCACTCCAGCGCTTCACTTTCTGGGTCCACAGCGAGGTCACAATCGGCATGCAGGGCCAGGGGCAAGCAGCAGCAAGGGAGTCCAAGGCAGGTCCCACAAGTACAAGGAAGCGCTCTGTTGCTTTGTCGAGCTTGTAGGTTATAGTGAGGCTGACTAGTGCAGCGAGAGGCAAGGGAAGTGTAGCCGCAGAGATTCCATCTGCAAAGACAGACATGCTTAAGCGATGAGCGATTTTTCCATCATAATCATTATAATTATTCTTTTCCAACTTCCTCTGCATTTCCAGTTTTACAGATATGACCAATTGTTTACAGGTCTACAAAGCAAGACCGCCCAAGAACATGTTGTCCAGGACTACCATGATTGCATCTAAGCAAGACCCGCCAGGGACATGTTATCCAGGACTACCATGACTGCATCTAAGGTTCTAACCTTTCATGTATAAAACCCCTAGAACCTGAGTTTATCCCTTGTCCAACAAGAGAAGAAAAACATTACCTGCTGGAAGCCTTGGGACGTCAACACCAGTAGCTGCTAAGATCTTCTCTATCTGTTGCTCAACACTTACTAAATTTGCTGCAGGACTAGGCCAGTCAGTTCCATTCATGGAAACGGGCTTCCACAGACCTCGTGTTACTTCCGAAGAAAAGTAGCTAACCATGGTTCCTAGTGTTGCTGGCAGAAAATCAGCCAAGATTTTAAGACCTGCGACAAATGAAGGGGGAAGATTTTAGATCACGCCTAACCCACTATTGGCGGCCTTTCGAGAAGCGCTTATGAATTATGATGCATCCAGATAGTCGCACAAAAAAAGCGTATAATGTGGGGTATCATTGTCGGATGTAGATAAGTATCCCCTTGTCCAAATTGATTTCATTAAGAAAATTTCAATTTCTATATTTTCAGGAAAATGGACAAACCTGTTGCTAATTCCCGGGGAGAAAGTGATCCATGAGCACAGGCAGTAAGAGCAGCATCAAGCACAAACGGGGCCGCTTCCAAGATATCCCATGCAGGTAACTTGAGTTGATCAGAAGAGTCATCCACCCCCGAAGTAGATAAACTACTGCTCCCTGAAGATGGAGTCAGTGACTGACTACCACCTTTATTTGCCTTCTTGAACATCATGCTAAGGAGGGAATCAACAATGTGATGCACTGGACTTCCTGTCTTTAATTCAGAGAGAATTGAAGCCATACATTCCTGATGCTGCCGATACCACTGTTTCAGTCTGGGGAATGAATCCATGAAGATGGGATCGACAGAGATATCTATCATTTTCGAAAATCTTCGACGTGCCATGCGATCCTTTGGGGACTTTCCAAAACATTTCAGACGGCAATTTCTCACTAACAAAAGATACTCGGGGCTTGGTTGAGGGCCCACCGGCGGAACATCTCCCAAGACGTAATCTAGTGGTGGGTGATCAAATCTCCATAACCTTAGAAGAAGTGAAAATGCAGTGGAGAAAACAGCATGAGAGGAGATTACTTCGCCAGTTGGGAGAGTCCATGTAATGTTCGGAATACCAGAGCCAAATGCTTCACAAATTGGCATTAAGGCACCAGCAAGCAATGGAACCTGGCAAAAGAAGCATAAATATTAACCCACTGAAAAATAGCACATTCTTTGTTTATTGTCAAATAACATAAGTTGTTGAGGAACAAAAAAACCTACCACACCGTGCAATGAGAAAATCTGAACACAATCTATGGGTGATATCCCGACAAGAAGAACATTAAGAAACGGTGCAGAACTGATTAAATGGCTATAACTCCCAGAAATATCAGTTGGAGCCGGAGGCGAGAGTAAAGTTACAATAAAGATAATGACATGCTCCTGGTATAAATCAGAGATGTGGTTAAAGATATAAGATGAGGAGGCCGCAGAAAAAAGATCCAAGTAGAGAAATGGGAGCAATAACTTTCTCAAAATGAAATCACAGAGATAGACTCTCTAAGTGCCAAACATACCTGTATGCTCCAACCACGAAATAGAGATGCTCCACAGAGAATAGAAGCCACAGCTATCTTCTCATCTTCTGAACCAGTAGTTGCAACCTCGTACATCTTTTCGATCTCTGCTAAGCTTCCATCATATTAATGAACTTAATTCAGTTTCCTTACAGATGAGAAGTTTGAAAAAAAACTCCACTTACGGAGACTCGGAAACAGACAATAGTCAACTACAAATAGGCTTTAGTTAATGAAACTAAAAATATTGGTTTTTCCTCCTATCACCCCTTTTAACCAATGACCTAAAGAGAACCATAAACAAAGATCGATCATAGATTTTACATACCTAGAAGCTGGAGTTGTGATTAGTGAATTTGTCAATGACGGTGTTAGAGGAGAACCCTTCATCACTAGAGACCAACAAGAAATATCACCGGTAATACCTTGAGGAACTTGATTAATTCCCCCAGTTACAAAGCCTGGCCAGAGATATGCAGATGTGTCCAACAAATTTCTGGTGATACAAGCTTCCACTATCAGATGGCGCATGTTACCAGCTGTGCCAACACATGTCACAGTTACAAAACCAAACACATTCGAACCAGAATGCTGGCGCAGTTTAACATTGGGAGACCAAAAAGTAGACGGCAAATTTACTTACAGCAACCACTTGGAGATTCGCTCATGCCTGTATCTTCATAGGATCCATTTCCATTTGTACTGCCAGAAACGAACATAACTGCTTTAGCTGCAGCTTGATTGGCAACGGACTGTACGGAACGAGGTGGTGTCAGCAAGCTTTCATAATCACCAAGTTGTTGTAAGCTATTGACTAATCCTTGTCGGCATTTTCCTTTTTTGTCTTTCCACTGGTTGCTTGGGCTAGATGAGCTTTGATCAATCCACTGACTTTCTTCTTCTTCAATAATATTAGCAACTGCAAGTGGAGTGACGGACAGTAATACACAAAGAAAAGTGTCGGTGCGAGGCACAGGACCCTCAATAGGATCTCTTTCCTTCAAATTACAACATATATTGGTCAGTAATCTTCGAGTATGTAACTCAGCGATTTAAAACTTCATAAGGCATGACACTCTCATTATATGAGATTCTAATTATGAATCATGCATAAGTTTATACGTGCAACAGAAATTGGTGCCACCCACATGTTAGGTACTTCAGATAATGTTTCCATCATATGCATGAGAAAAAAGAAAAAAAGCAATAAAGAAACGTAGAGTCTCCTAAAAGCACCGAGATCAGAGCAAACTACCCTCATGCTAAAAGCTTAAAATTCTTCTTAGTGTCAGAACAGACTCCTACCCTCTGCACAAGGCGTAAGGCTGCTAACCATAGAGCTAGAAAGGCATCATGCCATGTTGTACTGTTAGCTGCCTGCAATGCTTTCACAAGACCTGCAAATATTCGTTTATGTTCAAATAAAGCCCATAGCAATAAGTATGCAGATATTCACGAGAGGAGAAATGCAAGAATGACAATAGAAATAAATCTACTATCACCGGTTAGATTTTCAACCGCGCTGGCTGCTGCAGCTTGTGTCCCATCCATTATATCTTCGAAGAAAAGATCAATGGGCAACCAAAGTGCAGACTCACTAGTCCCATGATGCTGACTAGTCAAAGCTAACTTAGAGCCAGAGGATACAATCGCATGAAACTCTCCTCGAGGGATGGTCTTGCTCTCCCTTGCAAGAAATTTACGTGTATGATATGCCAGCTGTGTAAGGGCTTCTGGATTAATATGTTTTGAATTCCTCACTGTCAATGATTTGGTTGCCAGCACTCTAAACCGCTGACTGAAATCTTCCCAGTGTGTTGGCCTGAAGAGAAAGGAAACTTAGAGGCATTGGTAGAGAAACATCTGAAGACGTTCGTACATTTTAATTCATTTGCAAGAAATTAAGCGCCCAGCAGTGTCCACAATGATATGAATCAGAGAACAAACAGAAAAACAAGGGGTGCTAGTTTTAAGGTCTTACAAGTTTTGACTTGCCAAGTGAAGAATCCTTGATGTTACTTTATTTTGCAAAAATTCTTGGATAAGCTCGATAGCCATTTCAGTGTTTGCTTTCTCTAGTACATCATGGTTCTCATTTCTCTTCACAGGATTATCCAGCCCGTCTATTTCCATGTCGTGTGGCCTGCTTTGCCATTTAGACCTCTTACTAGATGTCAGTTCTAAAAGCCCTTCCTCGTCTAGGGATGCATCAACTAGCTGCCAGACAATGGAGAAGACAAATGCAAGAAGAATACTTCCAGGTTCTTGATCTTGAACTCCAAAGGTTTCAGAAAGATGGAGGATATCATCAATGGAATTCATTGTCCTGTTCATTTGAAAACTTTCACATTAGTGTGCATTTTAAAACCAAAAAGAAGAGAGATCTAATCAAAGGCATATGAGCTGTATGATTACTCATATAAAAACCTGTACATACTCTTGAACTCGACACTAAAGCCTGGTACATACACCATTTTGACAAAACAACATTAATTGAGATAAGGAACTCACTTTTGATATCCTGGTCCTCTGATTTGAGGCATGAATGAGAATGCATATCTCTTGATAAGTTCCATATAAAGCCTATAGGCTGCCGGATGAAGCTTTCTATTTGCGATCACCCTAAAATTACCAACCATAAGAATCAAAAGGGTAGAGAAAACTAAGAACAAAACAATAAGATGGTTAGACCGTAGTGTTCTAAATGAGCCTGTTTCAGCAGCACTCTGGTCAACGGGATAGCAAAAGAAAGAGGTCTATAGCTATTACAGACAGTTTGAAGGAAGTATTTCAAGCAGTAGCATAATGAATGCAGTAGTAAGCCCGGAGATTGCGAGAGCGTAATAGCCAAGTATAGGAATATTCATACAACAGGTTCCAGAGCCAAACCTAAAGGATGTTCCAAGAATCAACTTTATGTATAGACCATTTTAAGAGCAACTAGTAGCCAGTTTGATAATCCCAAGACTAAAAGTGAGTGGTCAAACAGAAAGTGAGAAGAAACAAAAAAAAAAAAAAAAAAAAAAAGAGATGAATCCACCAATGAGAGCTCGAAAAATGTGCGGTGAAAGCTCAACGAGAGCTGGAAATAGAAATCAGAACGATAGGAGTTACCTTGGGGAGAGAAGAGCGAGGACAAGTAGGGGAGGGACAATATTGACGGAAATAGCTTTTTCGAGAAGCTTCCATGAAAGAGGAGTGTGATTTTCCCAGAAGATGTGGGAGACGAGGAATTGAGCGATGTCCGGAGAGGGAAGGGAGATTTCAGAAGAGGCGAGGGTCAAGCGAAGCTGAATAGCCCAGTGAAGCGGATCGACGTTCTTCTCCTGGGCTGACCTAATAAGAGACGTAACAGAGTCCCAGAGAGTCGATTGAAAATCCGACGGAGCCACGGCCATTGGACGCCGTCTCGGGAAGAAACAAGTGTTTGGGACTCGAACAGATCACTATGCTTCTTCTTCTCTACTTCTTCTTCTCTCACATTAATTTCATTTTTCTTTTTGGCTTTAATCCCATCGCCAATTTTTTTTTTTCTTCTCACACGATTTTTCTAAAGAAATGTTGGAAAGTACTGTAGTAGTTTTTATTTGAACAGTTGAAAATGGTTTTGTTTGGGATCGAATATAATTTTAGTTCGTACCTTTTGAATTTCTTTTTTTTCTTTTTTTTTTGGGACAAACAAGAAGTTTGTACCTATTTGATTAAAGAAGCAATTTTTTATACGAATTCTTAGTGAAGTTTTGAAGAAGCCTAATCATATGTATGTTATTATCCAGAAACAAACCGGGAAGCTTTAGCAACAAATCATCTTCATCCTCCCATCAAACAAAAAGAGACTTAAGGGAGGAGGAGTTTCTTTTTAGACAAAAGTAGGATTTTGTATTTCATGAATGGCTGAGTCTGTCAAGGCACCAGCAGCGGTACTCTGACGTGGAGTTTTTGTACAACTCTTCCGGCTTCATCTTCTCTAGATCGCTCTGTTTCCACGAGTTCAGACCATTCCCTTCTGCCTTTCCACTTAACCCATGCTCTTGATCCCGCATTCTCTTGTACAGTCTCATCGCAGATACACAGTCCTCATAAGGCTCGTGCTTCCCGCATTGGATCTTGTATCTGCAACATACAAACCAAACCAGGTTTCTATCCCATGTTCCAAGTTTTGCAGAATCTAATGTCAAGAAATGGATCCCAAGGATAACTTACCCGAGATATGACTTTGTGAGGTACCTGAGCGATTGGCTTACAAGATTTGTCTTCATCAATGGCACGTATTTTGCTGTGTCTCTGAGGCGAAGCATAGCAAGTAGATTAGTGAGAGGCCGGAGAGAGAGATTTCAAGCAAAGAATCAAAGGCAACAACACAGAGAGTAAAGCCCTGTGCGGGAGGTGATTCACCAAAAACGGAGCAGCAGTTACCTCAACAAATGGCTAGGGTATTGGAGAGTCAAGCAATTCATATCATGCTTAAGGTCATGACCAACAAGAAGAAGCCTCCCAGCCCCATCATTATGTCCACCGCACAAGATGGCTAAAACTTTTTCTCGTACATCCTGAAGTGTCATACCGTCCTTCAAATCTACCTCGGTCAATCCAGTTACTTCATGCCTGCAGATCAGGCGGGTGAGATTTAAAAGGAAGAATTTATAAAACCAAACAAGCACAAACGTCCATAGGCAGAACCTGTAATCGGTGACAGGGTGTGGTGGTTGGACGTGAGTGAATAAGATCACATTCTCGTCTTCGTCAACCAGGCAAACCGATGCACACTGATCAAGAGACCCGTCAGCACCACCACCTACCATTTCACAGTCAACTGCGACTGCCTTGAACCGTGAACCAACATGTGACCTAGAAGGATTAACCTGATTCCGTAGGGTAGATGTTGTCTGGCATGAATAAAGCACTAATTAAAAAGGATGACATGACTGGGAAACTGCTAGTATATCAAAAATCAGAAAAGAAAACAGTCTCCCGGGTTGTCACCAAACTAAGTAAGGCAGTTGACATTACCCAATTGGACACAGAACTCCCAACTAGTGAGTCTCTGAAACTAGTGACAAAACTTACAAGAGGAGGAGGTGGAGAGAGGTGACACTTGTTTTTATGCTCTGCAAGAGCAGTGGCCTCCTCAAAGACTTGAAGGCAAAGACTACAGCCTCGCTCAGAGAAAATGGTTTGGCAGTTTCCTTTGCAAAGATGGTCTGGAACTGAAATCGTTCAAGTGATGGAAACAAACATCAAAACCCATGGCCATGTGAAACAAAGGAAACTCATATGTCATACCGTTAAGGTGTTCCCGAAGAGACTCGAAGGATTTACAGTGCTTCAGGCAAAGCCCACACCGAGGCTGATGAACTGAATGGTGCGAAACCTTCATGTGCTCGACGAGATGTTCGCGTCTATTGAACATCTTGTAGCAAGCAACGCATCTGTGCCTGCCAAAAATCAACTCGAATTACAACCCTAACAGTGATTTTGGCGAATTTATCAAGCCAAAGTCATCCGGGAAGACAAATCAAATTAAAAAAAAAAAAAGGAACTGGGGAAAAGCTGGAGAGGAGAGGGGCGAACCTTATCTTGGTATCTCTGGAAGAAAGCAACTGAGAATCCATGGAAAATCAAAAGCGAGTCGCTGATGGAACGTCACCGCCTGGGGTTTAGTGCTGTCACCGGAGGGAGAAGAAGAAGGGTTCGAGTTTCCCAAGGGGGATTTTTATAGCAACTTCCTATCTTCTCTATAATTGCAACACCGCCCCCACCTAATATTTACAAAATTAACAATCAAATCCTTTAACATTTGTAAAAACAACATTTAAGCCCCACAAGTTTCGAAAATAAAATTTTAACCCTACATGATGGTGACCATCTATTTTGACTCTCGTTATATAGTCTTCTTTCTTATAGAGGGAGTTTGAAAGTCCTAAATTAAAGTCATTCTCGTACAAATCGAAGGTCTATCATCATCGGCATCTTTTCCCTCCCTTTCCTCGATTTCCATCTTGATCGGTCTGTCATTACTGGTAACACATAAAATAAATACGTACATATGCAATTTTTCTATAGATGGTCAGTTTAACTCTTACGCTACCCGTAATTATTTTTATTTTTTTGAATTTAATGTTAAATTATATTCAAAGAAAAAATAGCGTGGTTACAACTAGTGCATCATATAGTTTAAAAGCTGCTAATCGAAAATAAATTGATAAAAAGAATAAGGAAAATATTAAATCCTAGATTGAAACCATAGCTGAAGGCCTTTGTCATAACGTCGATCTCCTAGTCGTTGAATGGTTATGAATTGATTACGGACTTGTTGATCAATCCATTTGATTAATTGGCTTGCCGACCTTAAAGGTTCCCCATGTCTCCTCCCATTTCTCTCTTGCCAAATAGTGTGAGTAGTAACCTGAAAAATGTATCGAACAAGAAAACTCTCGATGCGATCTAGTTGATGGCTGGATATGTAATCGAGAATCTCGTGCCAAACTGTAGTATATCTTGCTTTAAAAACTCCCTTTGCAAGCATAGCCCATATTTCAGCCGTGTAAGTACAGTGGAAAAAAAGATGCTCCCTAGTTGCAAGACATTGCTGACAAAAAAGACAAGTTCCGGCGACTCCATGGTTCCACCGAGCCATACGAGCTCCGGTCGCTAAACGATCTTGCACTGCTACCCGTAATTATTGCTTGCAATGCTCCATCTAGATCTTAAAAGCTCTTGTAATTAAGAATTCTCTTTCTCTTTGTAGTCCTATAAATGTATATGCTAATAGTGACCAGAGGGCGTAATTAAATTAGTTACAATACGTGAACTATAAACATGTCCAGAAATCCAAGATTAAATACACTTCATCTTGTGGAGCATGTGATTAATCAATACATATACAAGTTTCTTTCTGATTGGTAAAGTGATTGATAAGAGAAAAGGAAAACCATATAAAACAAGCCATGCTACTCGATCCAGTAGATAGAAAATAAAAGCGGGAAAAGCATATACCATGCACACCACTAGATTGAGATCATCATATATAATAAGTTAGCATGCAAAGCTAATAATGGAAAGTGACCTAATTTTTGAGAATCTACCGTGTGTTTTAAAATAATATGTTAATTTAGTGCAATTGTAATTGGAAGATTAATTGATCAGTGTGTTTATGTTACTAGCTAACTATAGATATTAATCTCCTCGTGCGTACAGCTGCTGATTCTCATATATCTCCTGACAGGAACAATCCAAAAAAATATAATAATTGGAACGAAGAAGAAATTAAAGGAAGAATCAGAATCCGATCCCTTTCTAACATGCAACACTCTTCCTTTTTTGAAAAACTAGTAAAAGAGAGTTCCCACCTTTCTCCCTTAATTTCTCCTCTCGTTGCATGTTGGAACACGTTATTCTGCTATTAACAAAGATTATATAAAAGGAAAAAAAAACAAAAAAACAAGATCGAATCATTATAAAAAGCTCGTTAATGGTCACCATCTTCCATGCACATAGATATCAGTAGTAACTCTCGATCGACTCCTTTTAATTAATTAGTATATCCCAAGCTCGCTCTCTTCAGATGGCAAAGAACTCACAGAGTAGTAGCGATAAGAAGAACAGAGTGTGTGAGAAGATCTTCAGAGCAGTGACGAGTCCTGTCCGAACTGTTCGCCGCATCTCCACCAAACCTTCAAGTTCACCAAGCCACTCATCTGCAGAGGCTGTTCGCGTCAAATTTGCAGAGTCATCGACTCAGGCGGCAGCCAAACCCATCATCACAAAGATGAAGATGGAACCGAAGAAGACGGTGATCGCTCGAGTGGAGACGACTATCAAAACCGACGAGAGGTTCACCGACTATATAAAGAAAGCGAAGCTGAAGATAAGAGCAACGACGAATCACGGTGATCATCATATTACGAATGGCGACGATGCGTGGGAGACGGATGAGACACGTGATGATCATCACCAACACCACCATGTCCATATCTCTCACGTAGGTAGCAGTGGGAGATCATCGGATCAGTTCTCGGAGTACATAAAGAAGGCGAAGATGAAGCTCATGTCCTCTTCCACCATTGCTCGTGCTAACCCAACTTTCAAGTGATGTATATGTCGTCTAACAGCTGATACAGAATAAATAAAGAAAGATAATCCTACCTACTGGCCTAACTAAGAGAGATTGAGATATGCTTGAGTGTTATATATGATGTTGTGTGGTTTGATACTAAAAAGATTCTATTGTAGTATGAATAAGTGCGACATGCATGTATTTGTTGTGTTAATTAATGTTGTCTCTTAAATAAAAATAATACAGTATAACGACTGATCGAGTGGGTTTCATGTATGTATAAATAAAACCTAGAAATGATGAAGACACACAAATATCCTATGGGCTCTGACGATTGGGCCCTCATAGACATACTTTGACATGATGATATCAACTTAAAAAAGGTTCATAAACGGAATAATGACATGCACGATCGTTAAATCCGTTATAAAATAATACTCAATGCACCGAATCACAGATCGATGGGCTCAGGGGTTTTTGTTTTGTTTTTGTCGTTGGTAACGTACGAAGACGAAGTAACATGGCCTGTATTGTCTACCGAATGAATATTCAATTCATTTAATTCGAAACCATAATTAAGTGCTTTTAAAGATGTACATAAAATAATGCCAACCAAACTAGAAAAAATGGCAGAAGATTCATCTGAGACTGATGAGATTTCGTTTTCTTATTTTACTCTCATATCATATCATATCCTTCCTTGCCTTGACACGATTTCCGTTTTTAATCGTCTCGGATTTCATACATCCTTTCGATCAGTTTACATGCAATCTGTTTGTACTTAATTTTTAATCATTACAGTATATTTATTATATAAAAAAAGAGTTATACGACTACTTATAAATATATATAACACTGTCTGTATTTTGTCTTTAAAAATATATATGCTTGTTCATATCTCATAGTTTTAATTTCTACGTCTTAGATATGTAAACGAATGCTTGATATATATATATATTTGAAACTTCGAAGATACTAAAATATATATCTAAGAACATTAATTAATATGTCTTTGTATACGGCATCGGAAAACCTATAGTATAATTAGCTATTTTTTGGTGGCAAATATACTAATTTGTTGTTTAAGTATATAACTAATATTTAAGCAGAGAAAGTCCCTATTCGACGATCAAGAGTCAAGTTTGACTCCAGATGCATAACATGTACTGCTCGATTGTTCCATAAACAATTAATTAATTGTCGTATAACAAAATTTTATATGAAAAACAAACAATATCGAATCTGATGATCGGCCATTCTTCGACTCAAATTCAGATTAAATATAAAACTACATTCATATTGTATAATGTCAACTAAATCTGACGTTACCATAATTGTTAGAAAAAACAAAACAAAACTCGAAGACGCCCGCTTAATATTATTAGACTATTTTATAATTTGGCATTGTATTTTTTAGAATGCAAAAATATTTTGCAAAAGACATAGAGAAAACGCGGAAAAAATTATGTTGTTATTGTTTCCTATACTCTGAGTCTGAGCAATATAACGGTATTAATTAGGACTATTTTATATGTAAATTAAGTAGAGGGCAAAAAAAAAAAAACGATGAATTACGGAAAAACACCATAAACTATGAATTATTTGGTTCGATATATATAGCAAGTACAGCTAGTCGACATTGTAAGCGAGGAGGAGGACAGAGTACGATAGCAGAGTCGAGGCAATGAATATAAATATAATGGTTGGTCATTTAAAATAATATGAGTTGTATAACGTCTAGCTCTCTGCTGCGGTCATATATATGTGTTTTTGTTTAATTAACATATCTCGTCTTGACGTAAATCTCATTTGTTTTGTTTTACTCGCAGTCGTCAATGATCTTTAATTACAAAAGGGCAGCACGAAGAATACGAACAGATCAATGACCTCTCAGTGACAGAGAGACCAATCCAAAAAACCTCTTAAACAAGTATTTATTTTAATATATTTTGGTTAGGTCATTTGTGCTTTTTGGTTCGGCGGGAGTCCACAATTTTTGGATTTGGTTGGAAAAACCGATCGACCAAGTCTTTTGATCTCAAATTAATTGCGTTTAGCAAACGTTGGACATACAATATATGGTTTGGGATATATGGGCAATACAGGCGAGCGAAGAGGTAGAAAAAGGGGATTTTGTCTTTTCCCGCAAGCGAGAGGGCCTCCGCCTCATCATCTGCCAATAATTATCATCATCATGTGGGAACAAAAGCCGTCGTTAGTAGTTATGGCCACAACAAACAAACAAACAAACAACAGAAGTCGAATGACTTGTTCGCCTTTGTGACCCACTTCCCTCTCCCAATTACTTTTACATAAAATTATAAATTATTTGGAGAGATTGTTTTTTGTTCAAATCTATAGACCAGAGAGAGAGAGAGAAAGAGAATAAACAATTGCGATCGAGTCTCTCTCGACTAGTCCCTCCTCTCCAAGGCTCTATATTTAAACACCCTTCATACTTGCAAGTTTACATATACTTATTTTGTGGCAACCAACCCCCAATATTTAAATTTCTTTAAAGAGAAAAATATAGGCGACGCCACAACCACCCAACCCCCTTAAACCCCAAATTAAAACCTCCTCCTTGGGATACATTATAATGGCTGAAACGCCGCCGTCTCCCCCTGTTCTGCAGCCTCCTCCGGTGCTCTTGTCCGATTCCGCCGCTAAAGACGTCATGATCACGTGGTTTCGCGGCGAGTTCGCTGCTGCCAACGCCATCATCGATGCACTCTGCGGACACCTTATGCAGGGCTCCCGCGGATCTCCCGAATACGAGGCTGTGATGGCAGCCCTTCATCGCCGGAGGCTCAACTGGATCCCAGTGCTCCAAATGCAGAAGTACCACTCCATCTCTCAAGTCACCCTCCAGCTACAGTTAGCTACGGACAAGAAATGCTTTCATCACAAAGCAGCAGCCATCCACGACGATGATGATTCTCCTTCTAGCGATATCACTGATTCCGGTAATCGAATGTCTTTGATCTTTTGTCTACTGTAGCTACAATAACTAACCCCGTACGTAACGTACGTTAGGACATATATATATATATATCTATCGAATGGATCATACATATATCTTATGTCGATCTTTTAATTTGTCTTTCTTCCTCCTGACCTTACACGTGTTCTCTCGTTGTTTACTAGTAGTACTGGTTACATTTCCTTCATTCTTCATCTGCCCTCTAGATAAACCGAAAAATGAATAATTGCAGGATCTCGGGAAGAAGAGCACGTAGACGAAACGATCTCATCAATATGTTGGAATCACGACGAAGAATGTGAATCACGGGCTTCACTCCTCAAGCAGTCTAAGCGTTTTTCGGCCAAGGAGCATGTTAGAGGACATACGGCAAGTTCAAAACTCCCCCACCCATCCTCTTTATGCAGGGTTGATGATACCAAACCAGAGTTGCTTTTAGACATTCTGAGGTTTGATTGATTGTTTAGTTACTGACAATTTTTTATAGACCTTTTTAGGAATCTTTTTTTCTTTTCTTCTTAAATTAATTAGTAAACATATTTTTAGTGCTCTCTCTCTCTCTCTAATCTCTATCCCTATCTATCATTATTTACTCATTAGTTTACTAGTGTACTCTCGTCCTCATGGATGAAGTTGCTTCTTTGTTTCCATGACTAAAACTGCCTTGTTTGCTCCTGGCAGGCCAATGTTGTGAAAGGGCTCAAACTATACGAAGATGTCTTCACTGGAACTCAACTCTCCAAGCTTCTGGATTCTCTGAACCAGCTCCGAGAGGCTGGTCGTAATCACCAGCTTTCAGGTGATTTTATTCGTAATATTACGTTTACTTTACCCTCTCCTTCATGTTTTTCATCAGCTTTCTCTCATCTCAAATGCAGGGGAGACATTTGTTCTGTTCAACCAGAACACAAAAGGCACTAAAAGGGAGCTTCTTCAGCTTGGGGTTCCAATATTCGGCAGCACCACAGATGAACACGCAGGTGAAGACATTAAAGGTCTTTTGTTTACGGAAACTCTGTATATATATAACCTCTCCTGATAACTCTCTACTCGTCCTCGCAGTGGAACCTATCCCAACCCTTGTTCAAAGTGTGATCGACCATCTTCTTCAATGGCGCCTGATTCCTGAATACAAACGACCAAATGGCTGTGTGATCAACTTCTTCGACGAGGTACAATTTCACTTCCATTTCCAGATCAACATCTCTTGATCCTGCCAGCTAAGGTTAGCTTTGGCCTTGTTTCCAGGACGAACACTCTCAGCCATTCCAGAAACCACCTCACGTGGATCAACCCATATCCACTCTTGTTTTGTCTGAATCAACCATGGTGTTTGGGCACAGGCTCGGGGTCGATAACGATGGAAACTTCAGGGGCTCACTCACTCTCCCACTAAAGGAAGGGTAATAGACAAACTCAATTCTTTTTCCCCTTGGAGTTATTTTTTTTTTTTGTTTTCTTTAATCAGAAGAAGAATGTCGCAGGTCGTTGCTGGTGATGAGGGGTAACAGCGCAGATATGGCTAGGCATGTAATGTGTCCCTCGCCCAACAAAAGAGTCGCAATCACCTTCTTCAAACTCAAACCGGACTCCGGCAAGGTCCAGCCGCCGCCCATCACGAACCCCGTCACCCTATGGCGACCAGGCACCCCAGCTCCTCCGGCCTGCGGCATGGTCAGAGCTCCATTGGTGATGCTAGCTCCGGCTACCAAGAGGCTAGAAGCGGGCACTGGAGTTTTCTTGCCGTGGACACCGCCTGTGTCAAGAAAACCAGCAAAGCATCTCCCCCCGCGCGTCCAGAGGCTGCGTCTCCTGTCATCAATGAAGTCGGTGGCAGATCGTGAATCCTCGTCCCCGGAGATAGGAGTGAGCTGAGTTGGAAAATGTCACGCACGGAATCTCTCTTTCTTTTTCTGTTTTACGAGTCTTTTTGGCTTCCTTGGTTGGCTACTTGAGAGTTTCGTTGGTTTTTCTTTGTTTATTTTTTCCTAACATTTTTCTTTCCTTTTTTTATTTGCAAAAATTTAATAGATTGAAGATTTTAGGGTATTATGATGTTACAACGACAGAAATACATAGCTTCTCACTGGCTCAATTTCCCCATTCCACAAGCATAGAATCAAAGCAAACCCAACATCCTACTTAATTCATGATGTCCTACCCATTTCTTCATATACACCAAACCCAATCCTCTAGCACAAGAATCCCATAAGATAAAAGAACATCCTTTTCTGGTTCTATAATTTTCTTCTTGACAGAGAATGCACAGAAGAGAGGATGATGGCAACAGCAGCTCTCTGCGGCCTCTGGACATATGCTGTCGGCTTCTTAAATTTGTGGTTGCTAAACTACGGATATTAAGAAAGAAAGAGATGAATGAAGATGAGCCTGAGAGGAACAAACTGATCAAGAAGGGATCAAGGACTGACATCACTATTCATTTCAAGCAAATAGAAGACTCCAAAGATAATTGCAAATCCAAGAACAATTCCCCAGGCTCGTCAAGCCAAGAATCAGAGAGAGAGACAAAGATCACACTAGCAAATGGTACTAACGGCCCTAAGAAGAGGTTACTTGAGAAGGGGAAAAAGATCACGTTGGGTGAGCCGATCCCCACGCAACAAATCACCCAGCCTGAAGCAGCGAAACCACCACCACAACCTCATAGACGTATGATGAGGCCCCTTCTAAATGATATAAATAAGAAATCAGATGCTTTTATTGAAAGTACACTCGAGAAGATGAGAAAAAGCTTAGCTTAGAACCAAACAAATTGAGCCTCCTTCTCTCGCTTCCTCTGTCGTGTAGAAGAAGAACCAACAGACACTAGGATGCAAAGATTATACATAAACTCAATTCTTTTATTTTCTTTAAATTTACCAGCTGCATTCTTGATAAGAAAGCGTATATGTACTCGCACTTCTAGCTTGAGCTAAAATTAATCTCGGAAATCTATGATTTACAAGAAATATTCCTGAATGGGCTTGGTCATATTTCCTTGTCGAACAATGTTCACAATCGTTTGCCTTAAACCCACATACCTGACACGATAGGCTTCGGTCCACAGAGAAGCTTAATGAAGAATCATTCAAAGGAAGAGAAGACAGATGATCTTCATTCTCTAATCCCACCACGAGAACCCCCTACTCTGTTTTTTGCAGCCATCCAAGCTGAAGTAAGAGGCAAAAATTGAAAAAGAAACTAATGTGAGGCACCACAAGTAACAGCCCAATAAATATCATTCCAACTCTGAAGGAGCAATACCTTCCAGGCATACATTGCAAAGAAGGCAACTGTATCAGCAGACCAGACAAGAGCAAAGGATTTGTAAAAGAAGGGTATAGCAACATTGAGCAACGGGATGATAAGAAAGAGGTAATTAAGAGCCTCTTTCTCTTTACTTGGACAGTCTCGAGCTCGAAGAGAAGGAATAGCTGCCAAGAACAAATTAGAAAAAGAGTAGGAAGGATGCAGCTCGGAATAAAGGTTGAAAGTAGTGAAGGCGACTTACTAAACATCCAAATAGACCACATCCCCATGAGCCTCCATAAATCAGGTTCGTTGGAGGGGAAGAGGAGGTTGAAAGAAAGGACCCCTCCCACGAACATAGATGCATACCCTTGAACCTCAAAAACTTTGTACAGAGTACTTCCAGGGACAGCTGGGTTTTTACTAGCGGTGGACGCCCGCGGGGCAAAGGTTGCTGCAGTCTTGTTAACCACCTGCTTATGAATTGGAAAGCTTGAGCTACTCATTCAAGCAGTATGATGGACCAATCAATAGGTAGACTAACAGAGTTACTTTGGATTTGTTAAGAAGCAGAGATGAAAAACTCATCCTTTCACCAGAAAATTTGAGAGCATCGAGGGAGGGAGAAATAGAAAAGTCGGACCTTTTTCAAGTCTGTACCGAGAGCAGAAGGCGAAGAGGAGGAGGAGGAGGAGGAGGAGAGGGGAGATTCCGGCGGTTTGGGTTCCTCCTTAGGCTCTACTCCGTCAGAAGTGGCGCAGATCCGGAAAGTTGATCTTCTACTATGGCGAAGCCCATAAGTGAGAGCCATGGACGAGACCCCATGGGTGCTGCAGAGAGACCAACTCATGTTCTCTGCTACCAATCTCACGCGATAAGGAAGGAGCTGGTTTACTTTGGGGGCTTTATTAAACCGGTCCATTCTAAACCGAATTCCGATATTCTTGACCCAGTTCGAAATCAAATCAAAATCATGTTTGGAGATGTGTGTGCGCTGTCCAACTCTCAATTGAACCGAGCCCACGTCGGTTTGATTGGTTTAGCTATTTCTCGGGTGAAAGAAAGAAAGGCGCTAACTTTATTATTAAAAATGAATAATTCCCAAAATATCCTCTCTCTTTTTTTTTTTTTGGGGATTCCTTCTTCTTCTTCTTCTTCTTCTTCCGAGTTTAAGATTTTGCTTCTGGATTTAGATTTCCAACCCTCAAATTACAATCCACCTTCAAATTCACGCCATTTTTATTTATTTTTCCACAGCTACCTTTTCGGGAAAGATTTCAACTTTTTAGAATTCGCGAGAGTTGGAATTTGTTTGGAATTCTTCTCCTACGCTCCGGCGAACTGATTTTTCATTTGCCTTTTTGAAGAATTGAGGATTGGATCTATTGAATTCGATGAGAATTGGGATATGGTGATCGTGACAAGTTTCCCATGGCGAGTTTTTTGGTGGGCTTCTTGTTGCCTTCGCTCCTTCTCGCAGGTATCATCTTACTTGGCATCCCAATTGTTTTATGCTCTCGAGGAGAGGATTCAAATATGTTCAGAAAACCCTTACTTTGCTAGTGCACCCGATCTCCAACGCAAATCATCAGAGTCCTGTTTGTCTCTTGACTCATTTATTATACTCCTTCATGATAAACTTACACTTGAACATTCTACTACCTCCTCTACCTACTCTATTAAGATTCTAGGTGCCAATGATTTGATCAAGCACCCACCTTTTCTACAATTCACTAGGTTTACTAGTTTGAATGAATGATCATCCATCTATCTACTTGTTGCTATCCTTGGTTTAAAAATTCTTCTGCTTTTTCTTCACTTCCTTCCTTTCTTCTTTACTACCGCTTTGGATTTGAAGGGTGCTATCATACATTTTACGTGTCACAGTTCTCAGAGACGCATGAGCTTCTGTTCTCCTAATGAGTTTTCTCGTCTGTCACAGCTGCACTTATTAACTGGAGTGTGATATCCTTTGTTGATTTGATAGCTTTCCTCCTCGTTCACTATATTGCACCTGAAATTGGTAAGACTATTTCCTGCTCTCCTTTTTCCCCCTCTATTCAGGTCTCTTTTTTCTTATCTGATAACCAGCGTCAACCCCAATGTTTCTATTGTTATAGCTATATCTTGGATCTTTTTATTTGGAGTAAGATATTTCCTCTGTAGGATGAAAGGGTTCATGTAGTTTACGCCTTGTATCTACATTATCCTGGGAAAAACAAAGCTTGTTATTCCCAGTTTTCTGCGCTTTTATCGGTTACGGTTTATAAGCTGATATTTACTTTCTCAAACTTACATTGGACCTTGCTTTACTTTGCCAGGATACCGTTTTCAGAGGAGGCATTGGCTATTATGGCCCATTTTCATCTTCTCCTTTGCAGTATTTCTTGCTCAAGTGGTGTACCTTGTCATTTGGGCTGCTGTAGGTCAAGACTGGGATACAGCAGAGACTGGCTGGATGAGAGTTATCGGCTTTATGATGTAAGAGTTAGTCTCATCATTTATAACATCGGACTGACTCTTAAATATTTACATCTTAGTTGATACTCTCTTTTGTTTGCTTCTGCAGATTAAAGTCTTGGAGAAACCCGACTGTTATGTATTTCTTGGCTTTACAGCTACTAACATCACTAGTTGCTTTAGCTGACTTATACAGTAGTAGATTCGGCTTCGCTCGATGGCGGGACTCATGGTGGTCTCACTTCTCAGGAATTTTCGAACATCTAGGTTTGTAATCAATGTAGTAGGCCCAGACAACTTTTCCAAATACTTACCATAACATTTTCTCATTATGCGTTCATCTGGTTTGTAATGTCTATTTTAAGAAGAATAATCTTCTATCTGGTAGCTTTTCTCTTTCCATTTTAAAGTCACTTTGGTTTGACATTATTTCCTCGTTTATGTCTCAGGAAGTCATCTTAGGGTTGCCTCCTGCTTGCTGTTACCGGCAGTTCAATTGGCAGTGGGAATCTGCAATCCGTCATGGGTTTCTTTGCCATTTTTTATTGGCAGCTGTGCTGGTCTTGTGGACTGGTCCTTGACAAGCAACGTTTCAGGACTTTTCAGGTGGATAGATAATCGACTATTATGCAAAGTAGCACTTCCCAACCCTGCTTCTCTGAAATTTGGTCGTTTTTTGCTTGTTAAGGTGGTGGAGAGTTCTTTATATCTACTCAGGATTCAACATTGTCCTGCTGTACCTCTATCAACTACCAATAAACTTTTCAGATATGATTCGATGGATAGCAAGCTTTATAGGTGTATTCAGAATCTCTGTGGAAACTGAGGGCCCGGATATTTATTCTGGTCTTTTCCTTGTGTTATTCTACATCATGGTATGTCTTTTGTTTTTGTGTTGTTCTAGATCATGGTATGCCTTTTGCTTTTTGTTTTGCTCTCACAAGTGCAAAACACTGTCGATATGTTGTAAGCGTGTTTGGGGTATTGGGTATGAACACCAACAGCCAGTGTAGTTTTCCTTCTAGTAATTGACTTATCCACCTTATGATATCAATGTTCTTTCTGCTATTGCAGCTATCCTATGTAAGGTCAGACCTCGAGGATATGGACTTTATCATGTCCACAAGTGAAAATAACTTGGCAGAGCGGCTTCTTCCTCCAAAATATTCATTTTTTATTCGGGAATCAAGGTATTCTATATAGATTTCTGTTTAGTTTCTTTCTACTGGGAGCTGTTGTGGTGTTTGACGCAGTATTTCAGTGTTTTTTAAAAAATTATAATTTTTCTGTTTAAATATTGTCTTACTGGTATTATTTAGTTTATAACTCTGGCGGAAACAAAAAATTTGGTTGAAATATGCAAAGAAATCAATCTCAAATTTGAATTATGAAAAATCTAAAACGTTGAAGCTCTTTGGTTTTCTGTATTCAAGGGGTCGGCACTACAAGATCTAGGGCTTAAACATTGGACAGTTTTATGACATCAAAATTTTGGAATAGTTTCTCTGCTAAGATAAACTAAGGGGTTGGGTACAGCAGTACTCTCTTACAGAGTACAAATAGTTTGCACATTCTAAAGGATGTTCTCTTGGCACGGCTTTACAAGATTAGTTATTTAGATGTATAATAGTTACACTTAACATAATGTGTTAATTTCTTCCAAATTTTTCAGGGCCGGTGTAAGGCACACCAATGTTTTACTAAGGGGAGCTGTATTCAAGACTTTCAGTATTAATTTCTTCACATATGGTTTTCCGGTATATATTTGTATCCCTATTATCAAAGTGAATGTGTCAGCGAAAGCAACGTATCGTGTCAGAAACTCATACTCTCTTCTTTGTTTGCTTTCATGATTTCCAGGTCTCTCTATTTGCTCTTTCATTCTGGAGTTTTCACTTTGCGAGCTTGTGTGCTTTTGGCCTCCTTGCATATGTTGGCTACATTATATATGCCTTCCCGTCATTGTTCCGGTTGCACAGATTAAATGGGCTTCTTCTTGTATTTATACTCTTATGGGCTGTCAGTACGTACATATTCAATGTGGCATTTTCTTTTCTGAACACTAAGGTTGGAAAGGTAATACTTTCTCTATGTGCAAATGTTTTTGCTACTATAAAAGAACTAAGATAGAAATTAACAACTGGTGTCATAAATATACAGGACATGAAAATTTGGGAGATGGTGGGACTTTGGCATTACACCATACCTGGATTCTTTTTGCTTGCACAGTTTGGTTTGGGGGTGCTGGTAGCGTTGGGTAATCTTGTGAACAACTCTGTTTTTCTGTATCTTTCTGAAGAAAGCTCCAGAACTTCCAATGATAGATCTTATGCTGAAGGTAGTGGTCTTACAAACAATTATGCAAAGCAAGTTGTCTGATGTATTCTAACTTCCAGGTTTTTGAGAACCTTAGAATTGAGAATAATTTTGCAAGCTTAGTTTGTTTTATGCTTACTTATAGGTGGCAATTTCAATCTTCTGCTATTTATTCAATTTGAGAACTGTTTTTAACAGCTGCGTTATCATCAATCACAGCTGATGAAGAAACAAAGGTGCTGGTCGTTGCCACCATTGCTTGGGGATTGCGGAAATGCTCACGGGCTATTATGCTTGCACTGATTTTCCTCATTGCAATGAAACCTGGGTTTTTCCATGCCGTATATGGTATGCTTATTCCCCCTCCCATTTTCTTTTTCATGTGTCTGGGTGTTTGCGAAAAACATTGTTCATGGTAGTGTATCTTAATGGACTTATTTTTCAGTTATATTCTTCCTTATGTATCTGTTGAGCCATAACATCAACAGAAAGATACGCAAGTCCTTGATTCTACTATGCGAAGTTCATTTTGCACTTCTCTACATTCTTGAGATCGACCTAGTGTCGAACTCCCTAAAGCAGGAAGGCTCTGTGAGCAAGGAAATTCTATTTCAGTTAGGTGCGCTTTTGTATTTTGTATTTTCCAAGTTATAGGATAATTATCAGTTTCCTTTTGAAATTAGCTGCTAGGTGATTTTGGATCAGAAGGGATTAGGGAAGAGTTCTCACTGATAACTCTCTATATGTATTCTTGCAGGTCTCCTTCGTTCTGAAAGCTCTTGGGACTTCTTGGAGATAGCCTTGCTTGCTTGCTTCTGTGCTATCCATAATCATGGCTTTGAGGTGCTATTTTCCTTCTCAGCAATTGTACGTCATACACCAAGCCCTCCAATTGGATTTAGCATATTGAAAGCTGGTCTCAACAAATCAGTCCTCTTGTCTGTCTATTCTTCTCCATCTTCAAGTTATAGCCAGGATAATACTACTTATGGTATAGCACTTCCTTCTTGTCTTTGAAGTGAACATTTGAATGAGTGAAATGTATGCATCTTAGTTTGTACGTCCACTCAAAATCCTTGCTTCCATTGTCAACTATTTGTTCTGGCATTT